TATCCCCCAAGTAGTAGAAACACTTCTACAAAGGATGTGTTCTTGTGCAAACCTTGTGGACACTCCTAGTAACATCCGCTACATCTTCGACATTTCAAAAATTTAGGATAAATTTCACCATAATAGACAGTTTACACTTCAGCAATACGTGGAGGAGCACTCTCAGACATTCTTGGAGAAAGGATGTGCATACCTTGAAGTGTCCAACCTTTTCTTTAATTTATAAAGAAAAAGAAAGTAAAGAAAGAAAAAGAAAAAAATTAAAAATAAAAAAGGAAAGAAAGAAAGAAAGAAAAGAAAAGAAGTTTGGCATCTGCTAACATTTGTAAAGAAGTTTGGCATCTCCTCATTGATCGTAATTTGCATCAAAATCTTAAAGTTACTGGTCCATTTCAGTTTATACACCGACAAAGCTTGTCCGTTGTCAAGCTTCAACCAAAAGGGCCTTCCGAGACAAACATACAAGTTGATGTGTTGGATGTTCCAAATATTGAAATTCAGCCTACCACACCCGTTCCTAGTGAACTTGCACCACCACCACTGCCATCCCCAGTTTCTCGAGCACCTGACGAGCAGTTGCAAGCACCAAATTCCCCTGAAGAGCTACGGGCCATGATCAAACTGAATCAAATTATACATTTTTTTATTAGACTTATATTATTAAGTTTTATACATTTATTTTTTCATATGATCAAATTAATTAATACTATTAAAATAATCAAATTAAAGTATAAATTCACCAAATTAACAAATTATGACAATGACAATGTTATATGCAAAAAGTTGAGAGTTTGAAAGATATCACCAGTCACTGTCAAATTTAATTTTAATAAATTGTGTTTTGTGTATTTTTTTTAAAATACAATTTACAAGGATAATATAGGTTGTTAAATGTTTTTATTTATTTTTATTTTTTTTATAAATGAAACAACATTGGTTTTAATGAATTAAAATTGAATTTAGCAATATCATTTTTCTAGATTTGCCCATGCGGGCTTGTACGGGTTGGGTTGATGGGCAGGCTAGGATTTGAAACCTTTGTCCAAAATCCTAAATCATCTTCTATGGGATGGGATAGGTTGGACGGGTTGGGTAATATCGATTTTGTTGCCTATGGGCCATTTGATGACCCCTACTATAAAGTGGACACAATCACGTGGTAGGTCGAATGTACCAAATAACTTCTCTTGTTGAGGAGGTGCAATTACAAAAAGGATTGGACAAATATGAACTTGAGAGAACTTTATGGCCTATAAGGCTCACTACAAGTCTTTTTCTGATGATCAAAACGGTTTATTTGTGAGACCCTCTGTATATATCATTCATGAAAAAATTTAGGCCGATCCAATAATCATAACTTTATTGTGTTTGTATTTAAAAAAGTAGATGGTTTATTTTTAAAAAAATATATTTGTCATCCATTTTTTTGGAGACAAATGTGACAAAATGAAAAAAAATATGATTATATGATTAAGTTAATTTTTTTTTATTAATAATATATATTGAAATCCTTACAAAATAAACGATTTGAAATATTAAAACATGACATGCTATGTGCTCTTGACCCATCAAATTCGCTTAAATTTGAAATTAAACTCAGAGAAATATCCAACCCTTAAGAAAACTATTGGAGTAGCAAACCACTCCACAAACGTTCTTGTTACATAAAAATGAAAACAGGGAAGACGGGCAAACGACTATAGCAAAAGGGGCCGAGCATGGCCATTTCCACAAGTGATAAGGGGATCCAAAATAGCTATTTAATCCCACCAAAATTGTCAAAATTCGTCAAAATAATTAGTCACATAGTGACAAGAACGAAACCAAGATTACATTGCTAAGAGAGCCAAAAGAAAGATATTGAGATTTGTGTGGAATGAGAATTGAGAGGGCGATGGCCCCTGCAAGGCTTTGAATTTTATATGCCAATTTAGTGCTTTTGATATTTGGTTTGTGAACTCTAAAGGAGTGGCCCTTCCAATCAAAAGCCAACGCCTTTGAAGACTAGATTTAAAACTTATCAAGACACTAATTTCATAATTTACGTTGCATTAATTCTTTATCTTATCTTATTTGTTAGCATAATATTAATATAATGAATTTCATTATTAAAGTATACTTCTAATACAATGCTAATAACTAAATTTGCACATTAGATTACAAGATAAGATAATAGATGACAATTATAACGTTTCTCAAATTTCAATATCATTTCAAATAAAAAAGTAAAAATCATTAATGTTATAATCATCATCGTTTTTCTACGAGAGTTTATTTATTACTTTATGTGTCAAAATTATATTAGATTAATGTGTTCCACTATTCATGCTTGTTACTAATGTAATATTGACATATGAAATGGTAAACAAAACATGATAACAAAATATAATTATTGTAACATTGTTTGGTCAAAAAAAAAAAAACAAGTGCCCATCATCAATAAAAGGTGGCCTTGCAATTTTATTTATTTATTTTTATATAATAAATATAAAAATAAATTAAGAAATAATAGATTGAGATGGTTTGGTTATATGTAACGGAGGGGTGCCTCTATTTACACACCACCTTTCATTTCAAGGCACACCATTAATTAATTTATTTTTTATTACAATATTAACCTAATGTAAAATGACCACAAAGGATAAAGGGCTATGATACACACCTTACGTAATACACAACAATTACTCATTGCACACCACACCCAATTTTAATTTTTTATTTTTCACTAAATACACACTATCAATTTTCAAATATTCCCAAAATATCCTCATCTTCTCTAACCATAACCATAATCCTAGCCTTAACTCTACCCCGTAGCTGCCATCGCCATCAACTATTGCCGTCAGCCATCCTACAGCTTTCTGTCGCCGCTGCCTTCTAACTGATACCATCCCCTTTTCTGTTTCCATCCCCAATCCATTTGTGCCCCTGCTATGACAGCAACTCGTGCTGCCCTTTCCTTCACTACTGACATTGCAACTCATATCTCCCTCACCCCTGACACTCCTCTTCAACCCCGTTGGCCATCCTCTGCCGCTACCCATCATCTAGATCGCCTCCACAGTGCAACTTAGCTCCTCTACTCCATCATTCAACTGCAGTTGCAGGAGAGAGAGAAAGAGAGATTTGAGTTTTCAGATCTAGGGTTTGAAGAGAAGAAGAAGAAGAAGAAGAAGAAGAAGAAGAAGAAAAGAAAGAAGAAGAATGGGCTATGGGTCGAAATAGAGGGAGAGAGGAGCTGCCATGGGAGAGGGAATAGCAGTGGAGCAGGGATTTACAGAGAAGAGGTGCCGACTAAAGGGGATTCGGAGGGGCAACGCTAGTTTAGCAACGACGACAGTGAAGAGATGTTAGGGATTAAGGTTAAAGTTGTGATGGAGGAGATGTAGATGGCAGGGAGTGGGTCGTCGGAGCTAGGGATGGCGGAGGAGGTGCGGCCGAAGTTGGTAACGGCTATGACCGCGGCAGGTAGTGAGCAGGCGGCGGCAGCGGCGGCGGTTCGGATTAGAGTTAGGGCTGGTGGGGGTGGGTTATGTGGATTGAGGAATTTGTGTGAAGGTTAAAAATGTAATTGACTAGAAACATAAAGATGTAATAATTTTTTTTTTTAAGGAAATGGAAGATTGAAGATTGTGGATGGGGTGTGAGTGAGTAAGGGTAAAGATGGAAGATTGTGGTGTGTATTGAACAAATTTCTTATTTATCAAATTATTAAAGGTGTGCCTTGAGTAGTGGTGTGCCTTGAGATAAAATGTGGTGTGTAAATTAAGACACCCGCAACGGAGACCAACAGAAAGAGTAGTGAAGAAATGCAATATAGTGATAGTAGATGGAAGTGTTTTTTTTTGGATCGACAAAAAAAGAATACTTCATTGATAAAAAAAAAAAAAACATACATTACATATGAATATAGATGTAGACTAGTGTAGTAAATAGAGATATGAATCTCCTTAATTTGACTAACTAAATGGCATTTGATAGAATCAAGTGGAGAAGAAAAATTCATTTAACCTAACCCATTTGATAGGAAGTAAGACTTAGTTTGGTTGATTGGTTGGTTGGTATTTTATATAATATATATACAATCTCCATACAATTTATCTCACATAACACAACACGTTTTTGAAGTAAAAAAGACTTTTAATACATGTTCATTAATAATAATAAATAAAGGACCCAAATTACTCTTACAAATGAACAATGAAAATTTTGATTTTCAATATGTGATTAATAGAAACACAAAGCAAATAAAAGTCAAGTAATGAAAAATTACTAAGCATTCTTATTCCATGTATAATTGTATATATTAAGTTGAGAAATTAATCTTTTTATTATTATAATAGAGAAAAGCAAGGCAACTTGGACATTTTTGGACCCTAAGAACTCCTAATATGGGGCCTTTTTATATATTAAAAAAAATTATGATCGAAAGATTATGTATATATTTTTTTTAAATTGTACTTACCAAAATGTTACTTTCATATACAACTAGTAAAATTTACTTAAATTTGTAACAAAGTTTACGATAGGAAAAATGATCAAAATAACCTGAGCTCAACTACTAAATAAAAAAAGAACAAACTATAACAAAATATCATTTGAAGATCATTCTTGCATTTTTAACTGCAAAATTGTTGATCAAGCTTGCACAATTCACTTATCAATTAAATTATTTTCAATGATAAAATTGTTAATCCATTAAATTTTTATTGTAACATAGTTGATCGAAAGTAATATTTAATTAATGTTAAATTTGAATTTTTTTTTTCTCTAGAAACAATTTTAACTGGTATAATTAATGGTATTCTATACATAATCAATGCATTTGAGAAACAACCTTGCATTAATTTCAAATAATTCACCATATCAATCATTCTTTTAGTTTTTTAGGGTCTCTGGTATTATTTTATAACATAAAGGACATCTAATATTTTTGTAATGTCTAAGGTCCCTCAACATCAATCCAGAGAAAATTCGATCCCAGAGAAATTCTGGATCCATCCTAGAGAAATTCTCTTCCCGGAGAAATTCTGATTTTCTCAGAAGCCAAACAGTCCATTGAAAGAAAATTAAAAACATAACTGGATAATAGCAAGAGGGTCAGTGGGAGTTAGTTGGATAATCACAATACCTTGAGAACTCTTCTTTCATGGAAATCCTTTAAAACTGATCCTTTAGAAGTTGAGAGCAAAGCCCTTGCTGCAGTAATAGAAAATTCCAGAACTCAAACTCGGAGAAAATCTGCCTCAAAGCCAGAGAAATTCACTCAAACTCAGAGAAAATCCCACTCTAACCTAGAGAAATTTAGAAAAAAAATCCCCTTCCAACCCAAAGAAATTCACTCAAACTAGAGAAATTCCCCTTTTCCAACCTAGAGAAATTCCTCCTCACAATCTTTTTTGGTTGAAAATCATAAACCTCAGGCAACATGTATTCCATGGTTCACACATTGGCTGTGGTGTTATAAGATCTGTCAATAGTACCTTGGGAAATTTAAAGACAAATGAACTTTGATTCAATAATCTTCAGAAATCGAATGAACTATACAAGATCTCGAACCAGTTGATAAAGGAAGATGGAGATTGATGATGAAGATATATATGTATATATATATAGAGAGAGAAATGATAATGATGATGACGGTCAAAAATAAAGATATAAGAATGTTCTCTCTCTCTCTCTCTCTCTCTCTCTCTCTCTCTCTCTCTCTCTCTCTCCCTCTTTCGTCTATTTGGAATTTCGACAATGGAGAAAGCACAAGCACAAAGCTTCGAATTCATCATCTGATTCACCTCTGTGCTTCGGAACGATTTGTTGTTCTCCGAAGCTTGACCTGGTTCGATCAAATTCACATATGAGAGAGTGAGACTAATATGGAAAGTTTCAGCTTAGTTCTCGTCTTGAGCTTTGCAATCAAATTTGAAGTTCAAACTCTGATCAAACTCTATTTTATCTCCTCACAGATCCATCTCAATCTGTTTCTCTGGTAAGAACATCATCTCTATTCATTATATGTTAGGGTTGGAGTTTGTGATCTCAAAGGTGGACGATATGATGAACTGGGCACGCCAAGAGAGTTTAGAGTGAGAGAGAGAGAGAGAGAGAGAGTGTGTGTGTGTGTGTGTGTGTGTGTGAGAGAGAGAGAGAGAGAGAGAGAGAGAGAAAATGAGGTTTGATTTTAGATAGTCAAATTTCTCTGTGATATATGGGTATGGGAGTAGAGAGACTTTAGACATTATAAAATAATATCGTGAATCTCTTCTCTTACTAAAAATGAGAGAGGGACCTTAGACTAATTTTTCCTAAAAACAATTATACATTAGTTTTAAATAATTCAAAATATCAACCATATATTAGATTTGAATGTTCGCCGAACTTTGTTGGGAATCCCTTAGAAAAACAGGAGCAACCACTTCCATAGAAACACTAAAGCTAGCCACTCCACAAACTCTCTTAATTGAACACATCCATAGAAAAACTGAAGCTAGAGCCACTCCACAAACTCTCTTGTCACATAAACATCAATTCAAAAGGGGGAGGATGGGAAAAACAACTTAATAAAAATAATTGTACATTAGTTTTAAATAATTCAACATATCAACCATATATTAGATTTGAATGTTCACCGAACTTTGTCGAGAACCCCTTAAAAAAATGGAGCTAATCACATCCATAGAAAAACTGAAGTTAGAGCCACTCCACAAACTCTCTTGTCACATAAACATATTGAAAATGGGAAAGGCAGGCAAAAAGACTCTGATAAAAACAATTATACATTTGTTTTAAATAATTCAACATATCAACCATATATTAGATTTGAATGTTTGCCGAACTTTGTTGAGAAACCCTTAAAAAAAATGGAGCTAATCACATCCATAGAAAAACTACTAAATTGGCCTTTCTTGGATGATAGTGTAACTCGAAGTCATAATCCTCTAAAAATTCCATCCACCTCCTTTGGCGTAAATTCAAGTCTTTTTGGGAAAACAAATACTTTAGACTCTTATGATCGAAGAAAACCTTAAACTTCTCGCCATACAAATAATGCCTCCAAATTTTCAAGGCAAACACTACTACTGCTAACTCCAAATTGTGGGTGGGGTAATTCTTCTCATGAGTTTTCAATTGTTGTGAACCATAAGCTACAACCCTTCTCCCTTGCATCAAGACACAACCAAGCCCATCGTGAGACGCATCACAATAAACGGTGTAACCCAAACCTCTTTCTGGAAATATCAACACCGGTGCGGTAGTCAGTCTAGTCTTAAGCTCTTGGAATGACTTTTCACAAGCCTCACTCCACACAAACTTAACCCCCTTTCTAGTCAATCTCCCTTACAAAACGCCGATAATACCCTATCAATCCCAAGAAACTCCGAATCTCAAAAACATTTTTGGGTTGCCCCCAATTTTGCATGGCATCTATCTTTGAAGATTCCACAATTACCCCATCTCTTGACACTACATGACCCAAAAAGTTCACCTCGGTGAGTCAAAACTCGCACTTCTCAAACTTAAGCATACAACTGGTGCTCTCTAAGCGAATCAGGCACTACCTGCAAGTGAGCCACGTGTTCCTCCTTGGAGGTTGAATAAATTAAGATGTCGTCCACAAAGACCACGAAACGATCCAAGTATTCTGAAAAAATCTGGTTCATTAAATCCATAAAGGAAGCCGGTGCATTAGTCAACCCAAAAGGCATTACAAGGAATTCATAGTGGCCATAACGCGTATGAAAGGCCGTTTTCTGGATGTCCTTCTCCCGAACCCTCAACTAATGGTAACCAGACCTCAAATCTATTTTCGAAAAGCAACAAGACCCTCTAAGTTGGTCAAACAAGTCATCTATTTTGGGTAAAGGGTACTTGTTCTTGATGGTAACCCGATTCAACTTACGGTAATCAATACACAACCGCGACGATCCATTCTTTTTCTTCGCAAAAAGAGCCAGCGTTCCCCAAGGTGATGTGCTAGGGTGAATGAAGCCCTTGTTTAAAAGCTCTTGGAGTTGAATCTTCAACTCATGCAACTCCGCAAGTGAAAATATATACGGTGCCATGAAAATTGGTGCCGTTCCAGGCACTAAGTCAATGGTGAACTCGATCTCCCGATGGGGTGGCAAACTAGTAAGATCCTCGGGAAACAAGTCCGAGTATTCACAAACTACCCTTGGCAACTCAACACGAGTCCCGTTGCTCTCACTATCCAAGAAAGTAGCAAGAAAGCCACTACGCTCGTTTCTACTACGAGGGTCAAAAACTGGTAACAAGATCCTATCAACCCGGTCTCCCAAAAAGTAAAAACAATCACCACTCGAGGTGCACACTGTGACCCTCTGACGAAAACAATCAATCACCGCTTGATACGAAGACAACCAATCCATGCCTAGAATGACATCAAAACTCGACATGACTAGCCATACAAAAGCAAATGGGCGTCGACACCCGGTAACCTCTATTTCACAACCATGACACCCTCGGTCTAAGTCAACTGTACCCCCAACTAGTGACTCCACTCTGAGCGGAGACACTAACCGTGCCACCTCAACCCCAATACAGATGCGAATGCAGTAGATATGAATGAATGAGACGCACACGTATCTATCAACACATTAGCCAAAGAATTACACACAACAAAAATACCTATCATAACTAACCCGGCAACTGCTTTGCTGCAGTAACGGCATACACGCGCCCCTGCCTTTGATCGACCTGCTCATCTCTCAGAGGATAGGCCTGTTGTACAGACTGAGCCAAAGCAGCTCCCTAATTAACTCGCGAAGTTTGGACTGAGTGAGCCTACTAGTGGCTCTAAATCTGCCTCGACCCAGATGCGCCTCCTAATTGCGGGCAAGCTCTCTTCATATCCCCTGACTAACCACTGTAGCGACCCTAATTTTTGTAGGTCATTATTTATTGTTATTATGATTATTATTATCTTATTTTATTTTTGGCTTTATTAATTGCGTAGTTATATAAGAATTTAATGTGGCCACATGAGAGTTTAATGTGATATTTAATTAATTTAATGTGTTATTTAATTATATATATTTAACTTAAATATGTATATTTGTTATATAAAAAAGAAGAAGAAGAGAGGTGTCATATATATATATATATATATAATCTTATATTTATATTTATATATATTGTAATTATGTAATATTATATAATAGTCATATTAGATTAGAAAATTAGTATATATATATATATATATATATAATATGTAATCAATTAGGTTTAGGAGTTGATAAGAAAATAAAGAATAGAAAAGTGAATCAAAGAGGAGGCAGCCGTGAGTTAAAGCCGAGAGAGAGACGGGGGAGAAAGAGGAAGGAAAAAAAAATTAGGGTTTTATTTTGGTGGCTCTATTAATTCTCTAAGTGATTATTTGATCTTCAAAAGTAATTGTGAGTACAAAACCCACTTTCTTTGATTTATATTTAATTCGTTGTTTTTATTTATTTATTTTTATTTATTTGATATTAGTTTGATTTCGTATTTATATAGAGATGATAGATTGATTTTAATTATTTTGATTAGTTGTGTATGTAAGGTTTATGATTTTTAGATGATTGATTGATTTTAATTATTTTGATTAGTTGTGTATACAAGGCTTAGGGTTTTTATATATATTTATTTTATGATTATAATCACACTCATGGTTATATGAAATTAAAATAAATTAGAAACCCATAGATAAATTCCTTACACTCCAGCTATACTCCACCATGACTACAAGGATTGTTGTTTTATTTGAGTGTTGGTGAGAAAGAGTGGATAAAAAAAATTGAGGATTATGAGATTTATTTGAATGCCTTAGGCTTGGCATTGTTATGTTGTTCTCATGAGTGAGATCTTTTGTATATGTATATTGTTGCCTCGTTCTCATGAGTAGACGAGTGTTTTGATTTACGCACGTACGTATATGCTAACCATTCGGGGAGTGTAGGTCAAACTCAGGACGATATCCTCATGCAAGTTTGGCTTCAGAGCAGTGTTAGGTATACGGGAGGCACATGGGATATATGTGTAGGCCGAAAGTGGAGGCCGAAGTGGTGGGGTTAAGGTACAAAGAATTTAATTACGAGTTTATTGTTATAGTGTGAATTGTATTGATTTGCACATCTTGAAAAATAGTAATCAACCTCAATAAATTATGAAATTTGAGAAGAGGCATGTATATGTGATTTTGGACAACTTTTGTGTTGTACCTTTTTATTAAAAAGATCGATTAGAACTTATAATCGGATGACCTTGGTTATTGTCGGTTTGATTCATTTTGGTAATGCAGATTTTATAGGCTTTTTTAACCTATGAAACGAGCTCATTTTTATTGGTTTCGCGTAAACTGAAGTAAAACATTATTCTGCACACTTTTCATGTTTTGAACTCTTTCGAAAAAAATCATCTTAGGGCAGTTTTATTCGTTTTCAGCTTCAAATTTTTCGATTGAATTCCGTCTAGATTTTTAGATCAAGTTTTTCTCTTAACCTGTTCAGTTTCTGTTAAATTCGTTTGCATAGTCTTTTAGAAAATTTGATTCTGTACAACTTTCGTTCTTTGAGTTTTGGTCAATTCAAATTATTTAAGTAGGAAACGGTGCATTTTTATACGTATTCAGCAAGTTACTTATGATTAATTTATACTAACATTATTATTTTTTTGCAGGATGGTGGGTCTTACTAACTTTTTATGCAGGGCTGACCCACCATATTTCTATTTCTGTTTTGTTTATTTTATAATAAATTTATATTTCGTTGTTTACGGACAAGAAACTAAATGCCACCGTATCTCGGGAAACTACCCATTCGTCTCGGTGCGATTGGAACTACTTGTCTTGTCCTGTATTAAGAATTAAATGTATTTTTGTCTATGTCTGGTGGACACGTGGGTGTTAGATCTTGTACTCATTCCAGTATACCTATATACTGACCCGTTTTGTCTCTTGGCAACTCGGGTGCATTTTGTTTGAGCGCAGCTGAGCTTCCTTTGCAGGATTAGTTGAGGCTATGGTGGTGACAAGAAATAACTATGATCGTAGGACATGTCGTTTGGACTTCTTTTGTTTTTCTTGAGCTTAGGGTTGTTAGTAGTTTAT